TAAAGTACAGGAGAGCACCTGATCTGCGGCGGCGGCAGAGGCTGCTGCTGCTGCTGCTGCTGCTGCTGCTCCTCCTCCTCCTCCTCCTCCTCCGCCTCCCTGCCTAATAAACCTTGATTTTTTGTGGTCTAAATGGACCTCTAGTGGCCAAGGAGCATCAGTGCAGTTGGCTGCGGTAAGGCTAGCCATGGTAAGGAGGGCTGTGCTCTTTCTCCTGGCCCCCAGGGTTTCCTGAAGAGGCAAGATCCGTTGGCCGAGTTGAAGTCTGTGTTCAAGGAGGGCACTGCAATCAAAATGGGCCATTTGGGGTAGCCATTTGCAGTAAGAGTCCAATGTGAGGAGTTCATTTTCTTCCTTTAGATGCTAATATATCTGTTCTTTCGAACCACCTTTCCAGTGAGATCAGCCGCCTGGACCTAGGCTTGATTGTGGAAGTATGGAACAAAGGGCTGATCTGGGACACGATGGTTGGAACAGCCTGGATTGCGCTGAAGACTATCCGTCAGTCAGATGAGGTCAGTAGCTCTCCAAGTCTCAGAGAAGTTGGCCTAATTCCTTTGAACTTCCTTTTGACCAATCTCCTCTTCTGGAGTCCAGTATAACTTTGTTGGACCTACTTGTTTATTATTCTCTTGTACAGGTAGTCCTCGATTTATGACCATTCATTCAGCAACCATTCGCACCCCCTCGCACCCCCACACACGTTTCCCAAGCCTTGCTGCGCCATGTACCCTCCCCAACCCTCACCATGCCTCCCTCATATACCGCCACATACACTTGTACACCCTCCCTGTGCCTCCCTCACACCATGCACCCTCCCTGACCCTTGCCATGCCTCTCTCCTTGCGCGCTCCCATGCACCCTTCTGCACCATCCCCAACCCTTGCTGTGCCTCCCTTGCATCCCTATGCACCCTCCCCGACTCTTGCCATGCCTCTCTCACATCCTTGCGCATCCCCATGCACCCTCACACACCCTCCCCAACGCTTGCTGTGCCTCCCTTGCACCCTCATGCACCCTTGTGCACCCTCCCCAAGCTTCAGCACACCTCTCTCTCCCCCTCACCCCTGTACACACTTCCTGAGCTTCGCTGTGCCTTTTACGCACCCTCACCGCGCCTCCCTCGCATCCCTGCATGCTCTTCTTGAGCCTCGCTACACCTCCCTCACATCTTCGCGCACCCCGCACACCCTCCCCGACCCAGCAGCAACCATTTACCTGCTTGCAAGCTGTCTGGGACTTGTAACTTCCTGCCAGCTTCCTCACTGACTTGGTTGCCTCGCCTAATGACTGTAGGATTCGGTTAACGACGGCAACCGTGACTTCAGGGATTGCCGTTGCTAAGCGATGGAGTTGCACTTTATGACTGCATCAAATTCTGGTCCCAATTGCCATTGTAAGTTGAGGACTACCTGTATCTAAATTCACTTTGATGATCAAAAATAAGGCAGCTATTCACTGACCCCCTAAGATACAGATAAAGATACATATACTGTGGTATTTGGGGGGGAATATTGTCATCTTCCACAGAGAGAACTTGTGGTCTGTTTGATACTATGCTCTCCTGGTCTGAAGAATTGCTGAGTACTGTCTAGATTTTTTAAAAACTGAACCGAAAATGGAACTTTAACATAGAAGTGCAGTCTGCACTTGAATTGTAGTTCCTGAGCTGCGCTTAAATATCTAGAACTGAGCCTGTTTTGAGTATGGACTAAGCCACAACCTGCAGAACCAGGCGTTGGGGAGCCATTTCCAAACTTGGATTTAGTGTAAATATATCAAGTATTGGGCTGAGGTTTGTGGCCACACAGTTCAAGAACAGCTTCTGATAGTTTTCTTCCCTGGGATTTTAGTTCTTGAACTGTGTATTTCTCGATGCTTACCCTCTGAGATTTAGGTATTCCCTTGACTGTACCCATGGTCTGACTTCTGATGCCTAACGAATTGTAACTTAAATAAACAGAGAGTGCTTATTTTCTAGCACAGGGTCAGTGTGCTTGTCTGCTTAACACTGCTTTGCCTCTGCAGCTTTCATTCCAAGCATTTCTTGGTCAAAGTCTAGGCACTGAACTATTTCACTGAAACATCCTTGCCCCTCAATTCTGCTAAATCTGGTCTTTCCCCAACTGCTCCAGGTTTGGAGTTGTGCCATGTATGCAAGTCAGGATTCCAGTTTCTCTGGCACACTCTTTTCTTGGGCATTTGCCTTTTGAGAAAAGAGATGCAGCCCAGGGAAGTACAGCAGGCGATGTTCTGGGAAGTGCCCCCTCTCCCCAAAGGGCTTCTAATGTGGACTGGTCAGGTGGTTTTTCCAAAAGATTAAAAACAGCCTTTGGGAATTCCCGTGAACCTCGAAGGCAGCTTGGATCAAGGAGGTGTCCACGGTCTGGGGAAGGGGCTTAGTTCCAGGTTTGAAATGGGCAGAGGACGCCCATTCAGCAGCTTGCCCAGCATACTGAGTGGTAGACCAGGCCAAGGGAGCTTCCCTGATTTCCTCTGTTCTCCTGCAAGTTCAGTGTCCTGCCAGGCCTTTGGGGCCAGCCCAGTGTTCATAGTCAGAGCCTCTGAGCAACTATCATGCCGTACCTGTTCCTCCATTTCAGGAAGGTCCAGGGGAGTGGTCCACTCTGGAGGCAGAGGTTTTGATGAACGGTCAGGAGGTCTGCGGCACCAAAAATCCAACACCGCATAAGATATTGTTGGACGCAAGATTTGAGTTACCTTTTGGTGAGTGCGGCTGAACTTTTCTCCTTGTTCCCGTGGTCCTAAGCCACAGCTGGGTGTGTCTTTAGTAGCAGGTTCCTTTCCAGGGCTGAATTCCAGCGAAAGGGCTGTAAGGTGCCACGTGCAGTCTCTCACAACCCCACCACTTCTTTTTTGCTTTTGCTTTCAGAAGGAGGGAAGGGGTGGTCTTCAAAAGGGGCGTTGCATTTTTTTGTTGAAATAAATAGCAGCAAGAGGCCCTGCCTTTGTTCTCCAAGCCACCAGACAATCAAAGGCTATTAAAACTTACAGTCTCAGTTTAACACGCGTTTAACAAGCCCTTTTGGTGCTTTCTCTTGCAACAGGTGAAACATTAGTTTCACCCAGGATGATCTATCAGAACACGATTCCCATGTTTGTCTTCTGAACAGTGAGGGGCAATTGCCTCTTCGAGCCTGTCTGAATTACACAGAAGGTTAACTAATTCTAAATTGTATTTATTTATTTTATTTAGTTATTAATCACATTGGTATGGCCTCCCATCTCACCCAACGGGACTCTGGGCAGTGTACAACAATTCCAGGTTAACTAATTCCAGACAGTGAAAGAAAGCTGCTAATTCCAAGGATTTGGGCTTATCCTTCTCTGTGAGGGGTGGTGGCAGGATGAGCCCTGAGAGTGGAGCCCCCACTCCTATGGAACAGCCTGCTAACTTGTAGTAGAATTTTTTAGCGGTACATTCAACCAGGGGATCGGGGCACCTTAAGTTGCACCCAGATTGGTTAATGATAGCACTGGAGGCAAAGAGGAGTGGAGTTACTGTCCTTCGTTAGAGACTCACGCCAGTCGGAGTACACGTGGGATTGGATGGAGCAGCTGGTGCTTCGTACCCTGTGGCAAGAGAGGTCAGTGAGCCCCTTAGGCTGTAACTACAAGCAGTCCTCAGCTTACATCCATTCATTCAATAACCATTCAGAATTACAACAGCACTGAAGAAATGGACGTACAACTAGTCCTCAAGGTTCCAGCCATCACAGCACCCCTGTGGTCACGTGATCACCATTTGTGACCTTCTTTGCCAGCTTCTCACAATCAAAGTCAGTGGGGAAGCCAGCAGGGAAGGTCGCAAGTCACTCCAATAAATCGCTCCCACTTTTTCTCCTGCCCATAACACCCCCATCTACCCACGTGCAGCCTCTGCTGGCCCTCCCAGGCCCTCCCTCGGCTTCTCCCCCCCCCGTGGCCCCCCTATGGCCCCCCTGCGCTCCTTGTCTGGGACTCCAGCCTCTTCCTGCTTAACACCCCATGCAGCTTGGGGTAACAGTGGCAACTGGGACTGCCCGGGATTGCCATCGCTAAGTGATGCAGTCATGTGACATCTCACTTTACAACCGCATTGCGTAGCGATGGCAGTCCCAGTCCCAACTGCTGTTGTAACCAGAGGATTACCTGTATGAAGCAGTTGGGCAGAACTACAAAGAAGTGGGGCTTTGAAAGAACAAAAAGGCAGTACTTTGTTAACAGACTTTCTTTCTAGGGAGTTATTTCCTTCTGCTTTCCCAGGGCCCTGCTTCTCTCAAGTATCTTCTCCCATCTTATGAGCATTCCTTGGCCTCCTGAATGTTTTGTGGCTGAGCTGACAGCTTTAGCTCCCTGGGAAAGTGTTTTTGTCATGGGGCAGTGGCCCAGTTTGACACCATCTACTGAGACAGTGCTTTGTTTTCCCTGGAAAGATGAATTTGGGTGAGGGGTTTTTAGCTGGGCCCCCAAATTCTTCTTTATAACCAAGGCAAGGATGGCCTGTGCTGTCACTGTCTTCTGGATGCTGGTCAAAGTCTGGTGTTTGGGAGGGCCTTTCAGGATTAGCTGCAAAGCCATTAATGCCTGTATTAAGGAAATTCTGCACTGTATATTGCTTATTTCTAGTTCAGCCTTGTCCAGCTCCCTGAGTGACTTTGGGCAAGTCTGTTGTAAGGTTGTTGTGGAGGAGCAAGCAACATCTGATTAATAAATATGTAAACCTTAATGGGAGTTACAAAGCATAGATAGCCCCAAGTCCTGGGAGATGCTCAGGGAAAGGATATAGTAAATGTGGAAGCTCTGTGGCCAGTTTAAGCTAAGCAGATTTCTGCTGGGTCTTCCATAAAACCATCAATTTTTCTTTAACTGAGAGAAAATCCATCATTTGTAATCCTGGGACTGGAGTGATAAGCTGGATGGAAAGGATCCACACACAGAGAAGTAGGTCAAGTTACATAACCTTCCAGGGTCTCTGTAGAAACACTCCAAGAACAAGGAACGAACAGGATGAACTAGAAGCGTTAATGGGGGAAGGCCAATACAGTTCAGCTATTTCTTATTGTGGGACCATGCTGACAAGTGGAACACACGGATTGAAGGGTACAACTTATTCGGAAAGAAGAAGTGAGACAAGAGGGCAGGAGGATGGCACAGGAATTGGAGTGGTAGATCCGGTCAAGAGCATCTGGATAAGAATAAAAGGGAGGAGACACGACATTGTCGTGGATGCATTACAAACCACCAAGCCAAGGAGAGGATCAAGAAAATGCCCTCCTGGATCAGATTGCAGAAATTCCAGGGAGAAGAGACAGTAATAATGGGAGACTTCACTTACCCAGACTTATATTGGAAAACCAACTCAGCCAAAAACATAAGATCTAAAAAAATCCTCAGAGAGGTTGCTGGCTGTCTCACTTTCCAGAAGGTTGAAGAAGGGAAAGAGATCAGCTCTTCTTGGTCTAGTCCTAAATGATAGGGTTGGTTGAAAAGATAAAAGCAGTGGGAACTTTGGGAGGATATGACTAAGTTATCTTGAGGCACAGAATATCATGGAATAAAAAATTGAACCATAATATGCATGCAGCCTAGATTTTAGGAGAGCCACTTTCAGCAACCTTAGATGAGTGCTAGGTAGGATCCCATGGCAATAAATTCTCCAGACAAAGGGTGTGTGGGAAAGTTGGGAACTTCTCAAGAATAAGATACTGGAAATACATCCCTGTGAGAAAAAATGTGGGAAGGGTGGCTTAGGAAATCATTGTGAATACAAAAGGAGCTTTCAGCTGAGGTTAAAAAAGAAGCATGTGTAGGAATAGAAGATGGGTGTGATTCCCAGGGAGCTGTCCCAGCCAATAGCCAATATTTATAGAAAGAAGGTTAGAAAGGCTGAGGCACAACTGGAACGGATGCTCACTAGAGAAGCTAAAAGCAAGAAAAGGATCCCATGGCAATAAATTCTCCAGACAAAGGGTGTGTGGGAAAGTTGGGAACTTCTCAAGAATAAGATACTGGAAATACATCCCTGTGAGAAAAAATGTGGGAAGGGTGGCTTAGGAAATCATTGTGAATACAAAAGGAGCTTTCAGCTGAGGTTAAAAAAGAAGCATGTGTAGGAATTGAAGATAGGTGTGATTACCAAGGAGCTGTACCAGCCAATAGCCAATATTTATAGAAAGAAGGTTAGAAAGGCTGAGGCACAACTGGAACGGATGCTCACTAGAGAAGCTAAAAGCAAGAAAAGGGCCTTTTTTGGCTGGGTCAGTAGTCAGAGGAAGAAAAAGGAAGGGGCGGATCTGTTGCAAGGAGAAAATGGTTGGGTAGTAAGGACGGATGGGCAAAGGGCAGAGCTTCTGCTTTCCTTCATCTTCTCCCCGAAGAGGAACTGTGTTCAAATGGAGCTAGGCAGAACCACAAGGAGGGACTAGTAAACAAAGAGATAGTTAGGGAGCCCCTGGATACCATGAACAAGTTTAAGTCTCCAAGCCAGGACCAGTTGCCCAAGAGTCTCAAAGGAGCTCATGGGGGCCATCTCAGAGCCCCTCTCCATGTTCATGGAATGCCAGAGGATTAGAAAGGGACCACTGTTTTTATTGTCATCACTGAGGAGCTACCAACCCAGAAGAACTGGGCAAAACTCCCAAGCAGATTATGAAGCAGCGGATTTGTGAGAATTCGGACAAGGAGCCAGCACCAGATTACCAACCTGACCTCCTTTTTTAGATAGTGACTGCTCTAGTTGATGACAGGAATGTGGGGGACACAGTGCATCTTAATGTTAGCAAAACCTCCAGTAAATCCTAATAGGAAAGATCACTACGTGTGGGCTGGGCTACACTGCTGTTACACCGATGCAGGACTGGTTGGACAGTCACCCCCAGCGAGTAGAATCAGTAGCTCTGCGTTAACATGGAAGGACGTCTTGAGTGGCAAAGTAGGTCTGTGTTCCAGGCCCTGTGCTATCCAACATACTTTTGAATGAGGTGGCCTGGAGGGCCTTTGTGCAACTGCATGTTGTGCGCCAGTTATGCCCATTCCTGGACCGGGAGACTCTGCTCACTGTCACTCATGGCCTTGTGACCTCCTGTCTGGACTGTTGTGACACGCTTTACATGGGGCTGCCCTTGAGGAGTATCCGGCAGCTTCAGTTGGTTCAAAATGCGGCAGCCTGCACAGTTTTGCACAAGCCTAGATTTGCGCATGTGTCACCTCTTTTGCGGCAGCTGCATTGGTTGCCGATTTGCTTCTGGGTCCAATTCAAGGTGCTGGCTGTCACCTTTAAAGCCCTACACGGCTTTTGGTGCCAGGTTATTTGAAGGACCGCTTCACCCCAGTTACTTCTACCCGGCCCACCAGAGTGGGGAGGCAGGGTATGTTGCGGATCCCTTCAGTGAGGGAGGTCCATCTAGTGGAACCAAGAAAAAGGGCCTTCTCCATGGTGGCTCCCTCCCCGATACTTTTCCGGAAGGCCCTGAAGACGTGGCTTTGCCAGTGGGCCTGGGAGCTCCAGGCTGACACAGAGCCAATCAAGTGGCTAGTCTGAGTGTGTGTGTTGCCGCCATGGGGGGTCGGGGGGGTTATTGGTTTTTTTGTATTATAGGTTTTAATTCTGTGAGCCAGCAGAGTCACTGTGTGTGAGTTGGGTGGCCATATAAATTTGTTTAAAAAACAAAAATAAATAGAAAATGGCATTATCACACACGTGCAGATAACATGAGGACAGAGGAGGTAGAAAATACTTTAAAGGACCATAACAGAGTTCAGGAGGATCTTGACAAGCTGGAACAATGGGTAGAAGTCAGCAAGCCTGAATTCCATGAGGGAGCTATGTAAAACCCTACATTTGGGTGGTAAAAGTCAAAGGCGTGAGCATAGGACGTTCTGGGCAGCAACACGTGCAAAAAGGATCTACGTTTTGGTGGATCATAAGCTAAATCTGAGCCACCAGTGTGATGCAGCTGCAAAAAAAGCATATGTAATCCTATATTACATTAACAGATGTGTAATAGTGAGATCAAGACCACTTCTTGACCTTGCATTAGTTAGACCACATGTGGAATATTGCCTGTAATTCTGGGCACTTTTAGAAGGACAACTGACAAATTGGAGTATGTCCAGGGAAGAGCAACCTAGATAAGATAAGATAAGATACGATACGATACGATACGATACGATACGATACGATACGATACGATACGATACGGTGGGTGCCT